TATTAGAATACTTTTTGTTCTCTAAGTGCGTTTTAATTGTGAATCTTTTGGCTAATTTTAAGCCAGTTGTTATTTAAAACAAATATATCAAAAAATATATAAATAATATATCCACAGATAATCGATAGATAGAGACATATAGAATGTTTTTTACACATTATAGATATTTTTTCTTATTTTTATCGTAGGTATTAAATATTTATCTATAATTATTTATCTATAATTCTCAAATACTTTATATGTACATAAATTGAGTAGCTAAAAGTTTATACTTACAAAAGAACACGGCGAGATGCTCAACATCATTGATAAGTACTTGTAATGTTTTTCTATCGACGCTCTCGATAACATCCGGCGTTGTTGTGCGAAGCTCGAGGACCCATTCTAAAATTTCTTCCTCGTGCATCATGTCGCCCGAATAGATCTGCCGGAATTTGTGTCTATAAAATGCCAACGCCGGTAATCCCGGAAGATCGTATTCCTTTTCGATTCCCTCGTCGGAAATCTTTACAAAGTCGATCTCCTTCTCTTCGCACTCGTCATCAATGTTTTCAAGCTCCTGGAGGATCTTTTGACTCTTCTTATCGCCTTCTTTATCTATAAGCAAATATTGTTATTGTTATATACGGAAAGAATGGTTTTGCTGAATGTTCTGTTTAAAAATTGAGCTAGATACAGATTTGAAAATAATTTTGGATCCATTAAAATAATTATAGGATCCCAAGCATAATGAATAATACTGCAAAAAGTTTTAACATTCTACATAATTATTTTGTCTATAACAAAATTATTTTCAGATCTGTATTTAGCTAAATTTTTAAATACTTTAGCAAAACCGTCCCTTCCATATAGTGATACATTTGATTATTTTGCGATTGACATACAGAAAAAGACGACGACATAATCGTTCTCGTCGAGAATATTTTCCAGCATTCTAGCATTGACTTCTTCAATTTTTCCTGGTATCTCCAAAGTGTCCTCATCGGTGATCCAAGACAATACTTCATCCTCGTCATCGAGATCACCAGTATAAATCAATGGATCCTTGTTTCGGAAGAACGCGAGAGTCGGGAAATGCCTGATGCCATACTTCTTTGCTATGGTGGTGTCTTCGGTAGTAACGAATATAATGCCCGTTTCATCCAGCTCGTCGTCAATATTTTCTAAATCTTCGAGGATATTGTCGCATTTTTCTCCTTCGTCGCAACTTCCACCTGTCACAATTTTTGGTCCATTATGTCGTAAGCAATCGAAGAGGATATAAGTAGGACTCCATATTTATTTGCATTCCATTTATACGAATAAAGTTCAATTCCATTTATACGAACAAAGTTCATATAAATAGAATTTGCTTAGCTCCAAATATCTCATTGCTGCTGTAGTTCAGATAATAGGAACTCGACGATTTCGATTTTCTTTTTTCAGCTTCTGTTATCAGAATTAATAAGTACTGGAAAAGGAAGAATTAGTGAACTTTTGTTATCTAAACTATTCAGTTATCTGTCTTGCCCTTTGACATGTTCGGATAAAAGAAATTCTAATATAATTAACTCAATGAAGCTATTAATAATTAATTTGACTTTCTGTAGATAATACTGATGAGAAATGTTTGCTTACTGAAATATACCACAACGTATTCATGGTCCTCTATGAGATCCGTCAGTATCTCATCCGTGACCTCTTCGATGGTAGCAGTGTTCTTCTGTTCTATCAGCCATTCAAGGACTTCGTCTTCGTTCAGTAGATCGCCCTCGTATATTGCCGGAATCTTGTCTTCAAAATACACCAGGGTTGGGAGATGATCGATACCGTATTCCTTGGCTTCGGCGTCGTTGTCTATGCGAACAATGATGATCCCCTCCTTTTCCAGGTCGTCGTCTATGTTCTCCAACTCGTTCAGAATCCGCATGTCCTGCTTATCGTCCTTGTCGTCTACGGAAAAGAATTAATTCGCTGGTCGCTCTCACTCGCGACCATATAACAGCACCTACCTAACAAGTAACAGTGGAAGAATGTTAAAAGGAGGTAGAAAGACGAATCGATCGCTTACAAAACAGGACTGCTATGTACGGCGAAGTCTCTATGAGTTTTTCGACCATTTCGTCCGTTACTTCCGGGATCTCGGCGTGTTTTTTCTGATGCAACAGCCAGCCCAGTATCTGATCTTCGTTCATGAGATCGCCTGTGAAACGCAAATGAAAAAAAATTCTTAACTATTTCCCTATTAATTGTTCTTCTTTTTTTAAATAAATGAAAGTTTTCAAAAAACTAACCATCGTAAATGTGTGGTATCTTTCGTTCGAAGAGCACCAAAGTGGGAAGCGTGTCTATGCCATATTCCTTTGCCTCATCCAAGTCGCTGATCTTCACGAAGGCTAT